AAGCAAACTGCGTCCAGCCAAATTCGAACATATAAAAGACTATTGTTATTCATTCTGGAACAAACAAAGCAATAAAAGAAAACTTCATTGTCAACAGCTAGGGGCCCATCAAGTTTGTCGTGGGTGTGGCTTTTTCTTAAGTTGAGCAAGCCGGTGACCCGGCATTTGTACTGCGCTGTTAGGTTTGCTAACAGCATTAAGGTTATTTGATTTTTCGACTCTCTCACAGTGTTATCCGAGGACAGTAAAACTGTCCTCGGAAAATTTCTTCCAGTTTCAACAGCTATGCGATGAACCCGCTCTAGCGTCAGTGAAAGCATTTCGCAAATTGCCGACCCGTCGTGCATTGTTGACTCGTCGAGGATGTAGAGGTCCAAGCACCATCCTTAGTTTCAGTTGTGATGTGCTACGTGTAATTTGAAATGTGTTGCAGGTACTGAACCTTTTCCATGGTGACCTGGGTGAAAACTCAAAAGTGGTTTGAAGCTGGGACAAGTTAAGAACCAGAGGCTCCCTGGGCCCAAACTCCATGAACTTTCAACGCTGGCCGGACCAAGTTGGCCCTTAGTCTTTTTGAATCATGCCTTCCAAACAACAATAACCCCCTATTATACCATATCGCGGGCAAATGATCAAAACATATCTTTGAAGCTTTCGGGGAAACATGAAGGACACAGTGCGAAGTCCAGCACATCGCGGCAACCTAAACTTGGCCTGATCAAGGCCGTCCACCAAAACAGTTAGAGTACCGCTTTGATGATCTTCAGATAACTCGTTCAGTCCCCATTGTATACATCTGTCGACGTATTGCGAGTGAAGGTGTGCACGGTAGCTCTTGATGTCGGCCAGCTTTTGTTCTAGGGATCGGGAACGATCACTTAGTGCTCTTGTCAGCTGGTGACAAACTTCACACCGCCCAAACCTAGATTTCGATCATCATGTGTTTCAAAAAATGCTTTATTGAACCCAAACCCAAGGTGCTAAGATGTTTGTGGAATTTGTTGGTAAAATATGGGCATGCGTCGCACCAGGAGACAAGGTCTTGCTCCTAAATTTCAGGACATCACTCCACTTCTCTTTGAAAACTCTTGCGAAGGTTGCATACCTCGGGGGCTAATGATTGACCCAAGAATTTTCAGCACTGAAAAATTGAAATTTCAAAATTTAACTGTTAGGATTTGTGATGATTGGTGAAACTTGGGCCCCTACGATGAGGTCGACGCCCCCAAGAGTTGCCGTGTTGACGCGTAATGATGGTAAAGATCCATGATGTTCCCAGGCGGGAGGTATTTGCACACTTTTTTTTCGTCAGAACACTGAATAAGTTGCCACCCTGTGCTCAAACCTGGCCGCTCCAAAAACGAAACTAGCTCCCCATCCTCGCAGTCAGATGCCACATCGAAATCAGGGTCATCAGCATGTGCAGCACGTCCGCGCCGGACGAATCTTCAGGGAGCAAAGCAAAATTATATGGATTACTGTATGGTGATGTATCAAGATGAGGTGCCCTTTTATCCCTTCAAGTGACCTCTTACAACCAAAAAAGGACACCTCATTTTGAGACACCCCCATATATCTTTGGATATTGTCATATATAAGAAATATCACCTTTGATCCTTTGGTCACAACATGGAATTAAACAAAATACAGCACAAATTAACAACCGTTTCGAGGACCCTACCTGTCTGGTAAAGTTTCCGCGACGGATTCATATAGCGTAGTTAAAAACGCGTGTACACTGTGTGTCTTTTCTGTATCACCTTGTTTGCACTTCCCATAGCGTAAATCAGGATTCAAATTCGCTCCTTTCCTGAGGCGATTCGTGCCTACACCCAAGAGCTTGGCGAGGCAAGAAACACCAATGGCTCGCTCGAGGAAGATGCAAGAATCAATTTTGCCATCCCCCTCCACACATAGATGTAACTCAGTTGAATTGCCCCGGGGCACAGCGGTTGCTTTCCGATTTCAGATATTACTATAATTTCCCATAATGGACCAGGGACTTTTTGGGGATCAGGCATAAACATTCAAATTCAAACTTAAATGATGTCACTAACCAAGTTGCAAGGGAATCTTGGTCAGTTTTCTTCAGATCCCAGAATTCACAGATGAACCGGCGGACCTCTTCCTGCTTGTGCTGGGTAAAGCAATTCTTCCGAGCACCTGGGAGTGAGCTGGGAATTCATAAGGCTCACACAGGCAAGAGCATTTGAGTTTTAAATAATGTTTGTTGGTTTGCAGGGAAACTAGAAAACATCCCATTGCGTTTCACAAGGTTTAGGCGCATAGACATTGATCTGTAGCTAGCACCGATGAAATTCTAGCAGCATCCTGACCATTCTGCTTGTACTTGTCCCCCTGACGTTCATATAATGCGTGAGCTTCCCGTTTTGAATTGTCATAAGGTCGTTTCTTCCTTGGTAATTTACCTTGTTCAGAGACCTGCTTGTTGAAGGTGGCCTTGGCCGCTTCATATAATTTGGGCCACCCAAAATTCAAAATTGAATGTTGCGCGGATGGCCCTACGTCACCTTCAATAGATGATTCATCACTTTCCTCGTTTTCTGGGCCAAAAAGTGGTCTAAATGAGGTTTCCTTTCTCTCAGAGGCTAACCCTTCCTCAGGTTCATCCTGGAATGGAGCTGTTGGTCTGGAAATGGTTTGGGATTTGATCCGTCGTCTCCTTCCACCTCGGGCTCAAAGGTGGAAACCAGAACTAGAAGGTAATTAGGATTATCCCAAAATAAGTTAAATCTATAAAATTCAAGGGTTTGCACTTGAAAATCTCATCGGATTGATCCCCGGTGTGTTTTCCAAGCTCCTGCCTTCGGTGTGTTTTTCTGCAGGTGCGACGTGGCGTGGCACCTTCTGGGGCCTCTCTATCCCTTCATTCTGGAAAGGCGGCATGGCTCAATGGGATCATCTTGGATGGAACCCTGAACCAGGACCATTGGCTTCAGAATACTGCGCAAAACTTTTGAAAATTAGATAGTGAAATTACCAAAAAACAAATCTAGAACAAACCATGTCAATTTTTTGGAGCACTGACTGGGTGCCATTTTGATCAAAAGGTTCTTCTTGAGCACCGGACAGACTGCGATTGAACATAATTGCGATAGAACATGGACATTGGGAAAGCAAAAATGATGATTGCTTCAACATGTTTGAGGGTTAATTCAGCTTCAACATGTTTGCTGGGTTTAATCCCCCTTCTTGTTCCCACATATTTGATTTTTGCCGGGTTTAATCCCCATTTTTGTTCCCACATCTTTGATTGGGTCACACCTACAAATCCGCTGCACTCACCAAGGGGCCCTACGCGGTCGGCAGCTTGCGGACTGGCGCAGCGCAAGGCAGCCTGGCACAGAACTGTAGGGCCAAGGCTTGATTATGCTTGATTGAAATGGGGAAGAATGTCATTTGATAACCATTCTTGGGGGAGAAACAGGTCGTAACCATTTGATATTTGAATTGAATTCTTTGAAGCATCATCTTAACACCATTTTTAAGAAAGCATTTTTTTGATATTCAATATTTTTTTGGGGCACACTTACCAGCTGCATTCACAATCAGAAATCAGCAGTTGTTTCCCGACGCCAAGTGAAGATTTGTCGCAGTAGGCCCCGACCCTGACTATGGTACAATGCAAAGAACATGAGACAGGAGCGCATACCCTACGTTTGGTATGAACATGCCGTTTCCGGCCATTGTAGTCAAAGTCTTTTCTTTATACGGGTCAAGGTTGGCCTTCTTGAAAGGGAACAATTGGAATGCAAGTTTTTCTTGCCCCGACACCGTCCGCCCCATCTTCACGCTCCACATGTGAGTAGAGCTAGTCGCAAGACATGGTAACTCGCCACGCTTCAAGCTCGTCCTAGCCCGCTCGATGGATTGGGACAGGTCATAGAAGCTCTTATCGGGAAACTTTCTGGTGTACCTCTCCAGGCTTGCCTGCATTGACCTTGAGAAGGGAAGTGCCATGAAGTAAGCAATGCAGGAAGGGAACTTTAGCCAAACACTTTGGTAAAATTGATCTACGTTTTTTTAAAACTGATCAAATCAAACATTTTTTGCTGAATGTTGCGCAAAGTCACGGTGGTAGAGATTTCTCATCATGGCTTCCACCAGCAGTTTCATCTGAAAGAAAATCTTCAGGTTGGACCAACCACTGAGACGATTTGGGGGCAAGGATGATTTGAGTGAGCTCTGCAAAAGTAATATCCTTGACTTGTCAGTACATGGGTCTTGGTCAAAAAATGTTAGCTGTCCAGACTTTATAGCTCAAACCGAAAAAACTGAATGTTCTGAAAGTGTAAATTTTAAATTTTCTGAGGTTCTGGTTTCCACTTGAGCTTCCCAGACTGCCAGGTCAAGCGGTACTCGCGAGGACGAGACACTGGGCATCCCACTTGCTGGGGACGAAGCCTGAGCAAGGCGGATTCAACTCGGTTTGGGAGATGTCTTAGGGATGGCAGGGTTTTAAAAGTGTTGCATGCCCCAAATAAAAATGCTAATGTCAACTCCGGATTAATAAACCATGGTTTATTAATTATGGGGGTACCCTCCAAATAGTCACAATATGGTACTTAAATGGTATCCCCTAATTAAACAACCTCGGGGCCTCGGGGTTTACTAATCCAGGGTTGACATCTTTTAATTTCAGGCATGAAAGTGGTCAAGTTCCAAGCTGCAATATTTGGGATAATTATGTTCTATGGGGGAGCTGCTCAAACAGGACAAGATTCTGTGTTTTGTCCACATTGTGATCCAAATACTTCTTGAGATGTTCATCCGTATACCCAACAACATTTTCATGCACAGATCCCGCTGCTTGGTTCTGCACCGCAGTACCTACCGAATGGCACTGTGCTTTGAAGATGTCAGCCCAACGTTTTTGGTTGCCAAGCCTTAGTCTAGCAGAATCTTAAATGGCGCATCATGGCTTCAGTTTGGGACTGGACATCCTACAATAACATTAGCCAGGGAAAATAAACCTTCAATCATTCTTCAAGAAACCTGCTGAATAAAATACACGGTGCGCCAAGCACAACGAGCAAATCAGAAAAATCAGGGATTTCACATTCTCTTCCATGAATCGCGCAGAAAGATGTTTTTTTGAACTGGATCTTCCGTGGATCTAGGGTCTTGGTACGAGAAACCTTGTCACCACCATGGATCAAATTGAATACATCCGTAAAGAGACAATCTGATGGATAGAGTTCCTGAATCAGCTTCTGGCAGTCTCGATCTTTCTCCACCTGGGCCCGGGCGTGGTTTTTTGGAAAAGACAGCGGGTCTTTTGTGGGAGGGGTTTAGGAACAGTACGACCATCGAGGTTTTAAATGTTGATGCATGCTGATTCCTACAGAATTTGAAACCCATTAAACCCAAGGCAAGCCACTCCGCAAACGAACCGGACTCCTGTTTGAATCTGCCACAGCTGTTCTGCTGCCCTGTGGATGCTGTCCCAAGCTGCCCGCGCACACTCCACCCCAGAAAACATTGTCATGACCTCTCGTTTCTGTTGAAGACATTCAATAACATGTTTTTCCCCAAAGTATGTTGCAAAGCGCTGCAACAGCACCACTGCCCACTTCCTTGGTTTTCCGAACAAACATGAACTAGAACCACCCAAAAATCAAACAGGAATTACATTTTTGTTAACCCCGAAGCACTTTGGAAAGGACTTGGGGGTTCTTTCCCTGCAATAGGTGAAACGGTAGGCTCCCCTGCAGAAACAATGCGTTTCCATCCAAGATTCTGAAGTTCCGCAACAGTGCTTGGCAACGGGTATGGCTCCCTTAGCTTAAAACTGTGAGGTAGAAACATACTAAAGCCAACACTATTTTTCCCCACTTGCCAGGTGAGGGTTGTTGGATTTTATCACAATTGTTCTCCTCCTCCTCCTCGGCTAGCTATCCTCCTCCTGCTCCTCCTGCTCCTCCTCCGCCAGCATCTCCTCCACCACCTCTGCCTCCACTCCACGTCCATTGTTGCCTTGCCAACTCTTCGCCAAGCTATTCGCCAACGTCCGAGCTCAGTGGGCACCGCTGGACCTCAACCTGGGACCTTCCCAGCTCAGTGCGCACCGCTGGACCTCAACCTGGGACCTTCCCAGCTCAGTGCGCACCGCTGGACCTCAGCGGCCAGATAGAATGCCAGAAGATATGCCAGATAGAACGCCAGATAGAATGTCAGATAGAATGACAGAAGATTTGCCAAATATAGAATGCCAGATAGGATGTCAGAAGATATGCCAGATAGAGTGCCAGAAGATATGCCAGAACACAGGAATCTATCTATCTATGTATCTATCTTTCTATCTATCTGGGGGTTAACCACCACCCCCAAGGACCAGGCACCTCCCGCTGGGGGGTTGACCACCACCCCCAAGGACCAGGGCTCCTCCCGCCAGGGGGTTGACCACCACCCCCAAGGACAACCTGAGCGGAGCAGTCGCTGATCGGGTTGCCAGAAGATATGCCAGATAGAATCCCAGAAGATATGCCAGATAAAATGCCAGGAGATATGCCAGATAGAATGCCAGAAGGTCTGCCAAATAAAGTGCAAGAATGTTTGCCACATAGAATGCCAGAAGATTTGCCAGATAGAATGCCAGATAGGATGTCAGAAGATATGCCAGAAGATATGCCAGATAGAATGCCAGATAGAATGCCAGAACATATGCCAGAAGATATGCCAGAAGATATGCCAGGTAGAATGCCAGAAGATATGCCAGATGGAATGCCAGAAATAGAATGCCAGAAGATTTGCCAGTAACAAATCGATAAATGTCATGGCAGGGATCACACGAAGTAAAGTAATTAAACATAAACCGTTTAAAAACTTGAAGATTAAAACTGTATCACAATGTGCTGCAAGGTTACATTAGCTGCACATCTTCGCAACTCTTTCCCTCTGCGTTCACTGCCTCATCCTCATGTTTCTTACCTGGCCTTCTGCTGGGTGCAGCTGGTCGCTTCAAGGTCTTTTTGATTGTTTTCCGGTGTTTCCCATAAATAGCAAACAACTTTTCTTTGGAGGTGCCATCTCTTGCATCAGGTGCCTTGTTGCCGCTGCTGCTGCTAGAGCTGGGTGCACTCCTTTGCTTCTTTGGGGAAGCCTTTGGTTTGCCAGCTTTTTCTGCCAGCAGCTGCACAAGGGATTTTGCCATGTTGCAGCCCCTCACAAGCCCAGACCAAGGGCTAAAGATTGAGAATAAAAAGTTGCAGAATATGGGCACGTCCAATGTGCATGTTTTTAAAGATTTGGGGATATCTTATTTTCAGATTATATAACCCAATTGATTCCCACATATTCCCACAATCGATCCAACATGGCCCCGGCTGCCAGCCCCACTCGACCAAGCCTCTTGGGCAAAGCTGGCAGCCGCAGCCGCGCCAGCAGCAGTGGCAAGTGGTGGTGGCGCTGCTGGGAAGTGGTGGAAACCCAGTTACCTCTAATATAGCCTCAGTTACCTCCAATGTAACATACATATATATATATATATATCTATACGATAGTTTTGGCCCTATTATTATGCAGCTAGTGTTGCGCCTCACAGGTGCATGGTTGCGCCGCACAGGTGCATGATAGTTTATCAAAGTATATGGGGACCTTGTTTTTTTGGATCCTCCGGACGGGGAAACAGCATGGCAGTGAAGGACGGAGAAGGCGGAAAAAAGGCGGCGAAAAACTGCCTAACGTAACTTCTGAAACCCATAGAAAATGAGGATTTCTAAGCTACTTGTCCCGCTCCAAAACGCGGTTCTTGGGCGAGGAAAGACCGCGCAAAACCACAGCCCCCGGACAAGGAAACACCATGGCAGTGAAGGGCGGAGAAGGCGCAAAAAAGGCGGCGAAAAAGTGCCTAACGTAACTTCTGAAACCCATAGAAAATGAGGAGATTTCTGAGCTACTTGTCCCGCTCCAAAACGCGGTTCTTGGGCGAGGAAAGACCGCGCAAAACCACAGCCCCGGACGGGGAAACACCATGGCAGTTTGCAGCTGCATCTGCTGCTGCTGCTTCTGGTGGTGGTGATGCTGGTACTGGCGCCTGCTGATGCTGCTGCTGCTGCTCCTGCCGTGCCATGAACCAGGCGCGCTCCCCCTGCGAAAAGTAGCCATCTTCTAGCTTTCCAAGCTCAGAAACGGCGTCTCCGCCACGCCCAAACAGCAGGGCCCTGAAGGACGGACCGGGCCTGCCGACAACGGCCCCAACTGCCTAACGTTGCTTTCTGAAAATACACGAAAAGTAGCCATCTTCTAGCTTTCCAAGCTCAGAAACGGCGCCTCCGCCACGACCAAACAGCAGGGCCCTGAAGGACGGAGAAGGCGGAAAAAAGGCGGCGAAAAACTGCCTAACGTAACTTCTGAAACCCATAGAAAATGAAGATTTCTGAGCTACTTGTCCCGCTCCAAAACGCGGTTCTTGGGCGAGGAAAGACCGCGCAAAACCATAGCCCCCGGACGAAGAAACACCATGGCAGTGAAGGACGGAGAAGGCGCAAAAAAGGCGGCGAAAAAGTGCCTAACGTAACTTCTGAAACCCATAGAAAATGAGGATATTTCTGAGCTACTTGTCCCGCTCCAAAACGCGGTTCTTGGGCGAGGAAAGACCGCGCAAAACCACAGCCCCCGGACAAGGAAACACCATGGCAGTGAAGGACGGAGAAGGCGCAAAAAAGGCGGCGAAAAAGTGCGTAACGTAACTTCTGAAACCCATAGAAAATGAGGAGATTTCTGAGCTACTTGTCCCGCTCCAAAACGCGGTTCTTGGGCGAGGAAAGACCGCGCAAAACCACAGCCCCCGGACGGGGAAACACCATGGCAGTTTGCAGCTGCATCTGCTGCTGCTGCTTCTGGTGGTGGTGATGCTGGTACTGGCGCCTGCTGATGCTGTGCCGTGCCATGAACCAGCCTCCAAAGCAAGAAACCAACAGCCAGACATTTTTTTCGAAAACGTTGCTTCTGAAACCCTAGAAAAAAAAGATTCAAAAGTATTATTCCCTGGCGCGCTCCCCCTTCGAAAAGTAGCCATCTTCTAGCTTTCCAAGCTCAGAAACGGCGCCTCCGCCACGCCCAAACAGCAGGGCCCTGAAGGACGGAGAAGGCGGAAAAAAGGCGGCGAAAAAGTGCCTAACGTAACTTCTGAAACCCATAGAAAATGAAGATTTCTGAGCTACTTGTCCCGCTCCAAAACGCCGTTCTTGGGCGAGGAAAGACCGCGCAAAACCACAGCCCCCGGACGGGGAAACAGCATGGCAGTGAAGGACGGAGAAGGCGGAAAAACGGCGGCGAAAAACTGCCTAACGTAACTTCTGAAACCCATAGAAATGAGGATTTCTAAGCTACTTGTCCCGCTCCAAAACGCGGTTCTTGGGCGAGGAAAGACCGCGCAAAACCACAGCCCCCGGACAAGGAAACACCATGGCAGTGAAGGACGGAGAAGGCGCAAAAAAGGCGGCGAAAAAGTGCCTAACGTAACTTCTGAAACCTATAGAAAATGAGGAGATTTCTGAGCTATACTTGTCCCGCTCCAAAACGCGGTTCTTGGGCGAGGAAAGACTGCGCAAAACCACAGCCCCCGGACGGGGAAACACCATGGCAGTTTGCAGCTGCATCTGCTGCTGCTGCTTCTGGTGGTAGTGATGCTGGTACTGGCGCCTGCTGATGCTGCTGCTGCTGCTTCTGCCGTGCCATGAACCAGGCGCGCTCCCCCTGCGAAAAGTAGCCATCTTCTAGCTTTCCAAGCTCAGAAACGGCGCCTCCGCCACCCCCAAACAGCAGGGCCCTGAAGGACGGAGAAGGCGGAAAAAAGGCGGCGAAAAAGTGCCTAACGTAACTTCTGAAACCCATAGAAAATGAAGATATCTGAGCTACTTGTCCCGCTCCAAAACGCGGTTCTTGGGCGAGGAAAGACCGCGCAAAACCACAGCCCCCGGCCTTGTCAAGAGTGTGGGGGAGATGAAACGCAAAGACGCATTCACCAAAGCACAGTGGAAACAAGACATCTATCGGGTCTGCAAAGAATGCACTGCGCCGGCACGCCATATCGATGCACACAGTGCGGCCTGTGGCACGCCGCAGCACACTTTGCGTCAAAGCATCACAACCCGCGGTGGAGTCTTTACAGAGTTTGCATGTCGTGTGATGCAGTGAAACAATGTTTCTCTTGCACAAAGAAGCTCACAAAAGAATATTTCACGGTGCCAGCATGGAAAGCAAGCAAGCCAGAGAGGAGGCTATGCCTACATTGTCAAAAGCAAGGAAAATGGACATGTGCACGCTGCCACCAAAAATTACCTACGCTGCAATTCTCCCATTATAACAAAATGCGCCCGGGCGGTGGTCAAAATGGCAGGCAAACTTGCAATGCTTGCCGTGCTATTGTCGTGCAAGCGAATGTGCGTAAGCGAGCTGCGAAGTCTAGCATATACAACGTCTGCAATCTGTGCGTGAGACGCTGCGCCGTCGACAAATTCTCCGCGAGACATGGGAAGCAATCGC